GTTCAGACGTGTGCTCTTCCGATCTCCCCAAAACCCCAAAACCCCATCAATAATATAAATAGATTTGAATGATCGATAATTAATTAATTTGTATATATTTTGATTAATTATTTTTCATTTTGATTTCTTTTTGTCGTTAATCGTTTTCTTACTATCCCCTTTAGAATCAGGAGTTTCATCAACTATATCTAGCTCTTTAAGTCTATCAGCGAACTATTGATCTAGTTATCTCTCATAGAATTTTTTCTCAGCTGCTCTTTCTTTTGCATCTTCGATTTATGCTACTTATTTTTCACTGATATCTTTATATCTTCCACACAGATCTTTCAGCATCTCAATTTAAGGATGATCAGGGAAGTAATATCTTAATCTAGCAATAAAATTTGATTCTAATACAATTCTTACAAAATCCTTGTCTCTTACCCAGCTAAAGTCATTTCTTTGCTACATTCCTCCAACGTACTTTGATAGAAATGAGTCTTGTTAAAGAAAACCAATGAATTACTTGCAACTATAATTGAAGGCATTAATTGAATGATTAATTTAAACTTGAATGATTACTTAATGCTACAAATATCCTATTAAAGACACCCATGCGAGTATACAAGAAAAAGAATGCAAATCCACTCAGCATTATACCACCTCTTATCATTTATGTATTTCTTGCTTTCTTTTTCCTTTATCCTCCTGACAAGATTGGTAATTCACTATAATATTTCATTAAGTAACATAATCATAAAGCAGTTGATTAGCATGACTTCTCATTAGATATGTAAAAATTCACTTACTGGTTCATTAATTCGTAGTAAATTTGTTAGTATTTCAAGAGAGAATCAATATTTTTGTATGCTTTGGTACCTTGGTACTTTAACTTCAAAGCTCTGTAGCCATTTTAAAAGCGATCTCTGAAAGAATCTCCAGATTTCTTTTAAGGTTTTTTATCTTAATTGCTATCCATTAAACTAATTTATATAATTCTTAGTAAATTTCTCTTAAATTGACTTTGATGGGGTTTTGGGGTTTTGGGG